AAAATAAGTTAATTGATAATTAGTGAAGAGGAACTACGCTTGAGAATGTAACTAACTTTTACTAGTTATACTTTAATGTATATTACTAAGCAAAAAAAACCACACTCAAGTGTCCTTTTAGTCTGAGCTTAGTTTATTCCTAATGCAGATAGGAAGTGAGAGGTAGTGACAATTGAATAAATATTAAAGTCACTCAAGAAACAGAAGGGTTTATGTTATGTGTAAATCAGTCAATAAATGTATATGATGGAGAATGGAAGAGAGAAAGTATGGACATTCGGTGTGTCATGGAATGGAGACCTACCACCGGGGTATTCTCTGGTAGAGAAGACAGATGGGTACCAGTCTTGTACCTATTGTAGCCCATAGGCATTTCTCAGATATAGCCTATGGATGTTCATCAGATGTAGCCCATAGGTACTGTTCCATGACTATGATTGATGAACTTTAATTTTGGGTCTGGAATATGGCCTGCAGGTTTATTGCTTGGTCAGTGATTACATGCTTTCTTACTCACTGACTGACACAGAATGGAGATAGTAGTTATGATAAACTGATCGAGAAATGTAAGGACATCAGGAGGTGGGATGGGTGGTTGAGTCCATTGGGGATGAATGAGTACTGATGTCATCATGTTCCTGTGATACTCAGATGAGTTGTAAAAGCTGTGGTCAGACTTCCATAACAGCAGTGCAAAGCAGGAGGGGAAACTCATTCTAATTCCCGAATTGCTCATTATAGTTGTGAGTAATGCTAGGAGGCATAGAATTATCTTTATTTTATGAACAGTTATGGTATTTGGGCTAGGAACTGTTTTGTTAACAGACGTTTGGATTTGGGGGACCTTTATTTTGAGTGAGAATATTGGGGAAGAATTATGAATACTGTTTCAAAGTAAAGCCCCTGAGCCACATTGTGTGGAGCCCAGTGCTGTACTAGTGCATATAGCTGTATGACTGAGCAGGTCCTTACCTCTGATTCTTTCCCCATCGGGTAGAGTATGTCAGTATACCTGTCCCCTGGGGCTGGGTGAGGCTGAACTAGTACTTGGTACATGCTTAGAATAGCTTTTGGCACATGGTAAATGCCTAGTACATCTATTAATTGTAATTATTATGTGATGATTATTTTGGAGCTGTTGCTGTAGTTATTATCGTAGTTGTTATCGTTGCCATTTCCCTTTCAGAGCTGCTTTGCCCTGTAAGTACTGGCTTGAAGCTGATTTTTCTGTCTTAATCTAATCACACTTAGAGTCATTCTGTTTCAGATATCTTAATCTTACTGTTTCCTTCATCTGCAATCAATAACTTCCTGCTTCCCACCATATTAAATCTTATTGTCCTTGCCTGGAGTTCAAATCCCTTTGCCAGTGGACTTCCTCCCTTTTTTCTCTAACCAATCCTTTCAGCTGTTTCCCAGTTCAGGGATTTAGCTCCAGGCCTGTGACTCTGCCTCCTTCCCTTCTGCCAGGCTCTGCATGCCACCTTCCCACGATGTCCTCCTTTCCTCCCCAGCAAGCCTGATGCTTTCACTGCTCACTTCTGTGTCTGCCCTTCCAGGGCTGGCCTTTCTCAGTGGCCCTGCCTGATTGGTCCCCTTGGTACCCTGACTATTAGACTTGTGGGTGCTGCTGGTACCCCTTTAGTTTATATGTGTTGCTGTTCCTAGCCCCAAATATTAAACTCTTCAGGGGAAGGAGCTGCTGAAGCTGAAGTTCTGTAAGGGTGTAGAGTGTATCTGTGTTCTTTATCACATGTCCTCAAGTGCCTTATACGTGTCCAGCAGTACTTGCTGTTTCTTACACAAACAACTTTTTTCCCCATTGGTGAAATCTTTAAAAGATCTAATTCAGTCTTTGCACACAGTTGCTTAAAGTGGCTCTTATTTTCTTGGCAAATAACCGTTCAATATCATGTACATAAATCCTTAAAGCTATTTAGCCTACATTTATTATGTAAGAGATGCTATGTAAATTTCTTTTTCCCATTTCAATGGAATACCCACAGTGTTTATAGAAGTGGCCAGTTGAATATTATGAGTACATTGGAGGAAAACTTTGAGTTTAGTTTTCCATTATTAACCATTCTTAAAAAGTTAAGAATTTTGCTTCCTCACTATAAATGTTAGGATTTCTTTGCATTCGTCTTCTTTCATTCTTTCTGTTTACCCAACAGCCAAACCAGATCTCCCTGGAAGAGAACATCTTGGTCTCCCGTTATATTAACAACCCCCTACTCATAGATGGTGAGTTATGATTATCTCTTAACTAGACTGAGCTAGATCTTGCTAAACTTTGTAACCTTTTCATAGTCTTCTCTAGTAAATCTTTTTAAGGCTAGTAGGAAATTTTTGCTACCTATGGCTCCAGAGATAAGGTGGTTCCTTAACTATCCTTCTGGAGACGAAACAAGGTGGTACAAGAGAAGATATGATACATACATGAAACTGTATAGTGCGTATTCAGTAACTGGACCATGTATTATAGTATGAACAATTCTTTAGTTTCAAAACTCAAGGTGTGTAGGTATGTGAGGAGGTGTGTTCATTTTTTCATAGTTCTTGGTTACATTGTCCTGTTCATTCTATAACACAAAGCAAGAAACTTAGTTTTTTTCTGTGAATACAAACCTTTTCCCTAGATTTCAAGTTTGACCTGCGCCTCTATGTGCTGGTGACTTCCTATGACCCTCTTGTCATCTATCTCTATGAAGAAGGATTAGCTAGGTAAGAGGTGTTGGTGGGTGGAGGGGCTGGGCACTTCCTATGACCCTCTTGTCATCTATCTCTATGAAGAAGGATTAGCTAGGTAAGAGGTGTTGGTGGGTGGGGGGACTGGGTGGATCTGTTACAGAGGTTTCTAAGACCAGGCCACTGCTTTCTGTTAGGTTCAACTCAGGA